TCAATCACCCTTTTTTACAATGAAAACATTTAAAAATGAATCTTGAATAAAAAACTCTTAACAATAATATATTGACCTAAAATGAACTACATGTAAGCATAATTAATACTAATTCAAGTAATTAAAAATAAATTTATAGCTGGGCGCCAGTGACTCATACCTACAATCCTAGCTACTTGGGAGGCTGAAATCAGAAGAATCAAGGTTCAAGGCCAGCCTGGACAAATAGTTTGCGAGAACCCATCTCCAAAATGACCAGAGCAAAATGAACTAAAGTGTGGCTCAAGTGGTAGAGCACCTACTTTGCAATCAATCAATCAATAAACAAACAACCAATCAATAAATAAATTTATAACTAGTTAATTTCTACTGAGCTGCAAGAAAATTCTTATGATTACAAATTTTTTTTCCTTGTGTTTCAAGACAGTCTTACTATGTAACCAGGGCTAGCCTGAAACTCATTATGTAGACAAAGCAGGCTGGCCTCAACCTCACAATCCCCATATTGCAGCCTTCTGAGTGCTTGTATTACAGGTGTGTGCCATAAAATCGGGCTCCTTGTAACTTTTTTTTTTTGTGTGGTACTGGGGTTTGAACTCAAGGCCTACCCCTTGAGTCACACCACCAGCCCTTTCTTTGAAGAGATTTTTCGAGATAGGGTCTCACGAACTATTTTCCCAGGCTGGCTTCAAATCGTGATCCTTCTAATCTCTGCCTCCTGAGTAGCTAGGATTACAGGCGTAAACCACAGGTGCCCGGCCTCTCTGAATTTTTTTTAAAGCACTTTTTCTTTTCATAAAAAGGTCAATGGTGTCCTGCATTTCTTCAGACTCTGGCACCTCCAATCTTCCCCAGATATTAATAAATACCTGCCTACATACCACAGCAGTTAGGAGTGAAATACTGCCATATTTCTCTACTGCCTTACTTTTGTTTGTTTCTTTTCTAATTTATGTCAGTAAAGAGAGAAAACTGCTCTTAGTGGGCCTGAATGGTAGGTAGTCAGAGATTGAGTAGCTACATAGCATAAAAGAAAAATACAATAAGAACAACAACTAACATCACCAAACCACAAACCTCAAAAACTTTCCCACATAGCTCATTTCTGAGTTTATTATATCATAGGAGAGTGCCAATTATATGTGAACATAACTATGCCTCTAATTTTGGCAGGATAAAGTCCCTAGACAGCTCATGCAGCTTCTTTGTAATAATCAAACTAGTTACCATTATATCTGGGCCACTGCATTTCAAAGAATATGCTATGATCAAAAAAAAAAAGAATATGCTATCAAAAATGGGTCTGATTTAAGTTAGGTAAAAAAATTTTATTTTTACTTCTAAATTTCAAATCAAGCCAAATACTTTTAGATATAATTGTGAAGTATGCTGATACTTGTTAAGGGCAACATAAAACTCCTGGAGCTTTTAAGACAGAAAGGAAATGCTGGGGAAGAAAAGAAAAAAGTGAAATGAGTATATAGAAAAAACCTAATGTGATAAGAAAATCTGAGAACTATTAAGAAAGGAGAGCACTGTTGAAGGAATTAAAAGAAGTCAGAAGCCTGAAGTTACATTTCTGACATATAACAGGCATTTTTTTATAGCATGTTATTTTGTGGTATCCAAAGATAATTAAACCACAGCACCAAGAACTATTAACAACTTGCCAATCTGCTTTGCAAAATATTTGTTTCATTCATCTCACTACTGAACTTTGTAACAAAACAAATTAATAAAAATGACAGCTAATGTTAAATAACCTAAACACCAAATTGAATTATTAAATCAGCAAAAATTTACTAAGTATCTGTTGATAAGCACTTTAGGAATAGTGATATATAAAACAAATTTCCTGCACTAGTTTTTAATTTAAAAATTTTTAATTATGATAATAAAAATGATAAACACTTATTAAAGAAATTAGTCAACATGCTGGACTCCTCAAATTGTTTTTAATTTTACTAACAATGTCCTATTTGTGCTTCACAGATGAGGCAAATGAAATCAAGCTATTAAATAACTTTCTCAAACTTAAAATAGCCAATAAATAGAACATGGTTTTCTATCCAACACAAGTGATTCTAAAATCACACCTCCAGACCATTTTATTCTGGTTATTTTGGAGATGGGGGGGGTGGGTCTCACAAACTATTTCCAAGAACCGGTTTCAAACTGAGATCCTCCTGATCTCAGCCTCCCAAGTAGCTAGGATTATAGGCATGAGCCATCAGTGGCCAGTGTGATGGAAACGTTTTCTAATGGTTTTAAGTGATAAAAATTAAGAGGAGTGAGCACTGGTACAGAAGAATTTTTTTTTATTCTGAGACTCAATTTCTAGTACTTTATTACCTCCCAACTATAAAACCAAACTTATCATGGATAGTGTTTACAAGTGTATTGAATATACACAATATAAGACTTCAATGGCAGGAATTTCAGTACAAGTGCCCTAAAAAAACAGAGTACTAATGTTTAAGGTACTTAAGAATGCCTTAGAAGGAAAGTTTCATAAACTAATGTAGTATCAAACACATAATGTACTAATTATTAATAAATTTATAAATTGCAATCTTTCTGTTGGGGGGTTGTACTGGGGTTTGAACTCAGGGCTTCATGCTTGCATAACAGGTACTCTACCACTTGAGTCACACCTCCAGTCCATTTGTCAGTATTTTTTGGAGATTTGGGGGGGGGGGGTCTCAGGAACTATTTGCCTAAAATGGCCTTGAACCTCAATTCTCCCAATCTCAGTCTCTCAAGTAGCTAGGATTATAGGTGTGAGTCACTGGCACCTGGATACCAATTGCTGTTTTTATAATCAAACTACACTTTGAAGAAAAAGCTATATTCTGAATTGAAAATTTATGTAAGTGGGCTAACGGAGTGGCTCAAGTAATAAAGCGCCTGCCTTGCAAGCATGGGGCCCTGAGTTCAAACTACAGAACCACCAAAAAGAAATTTTACATAAGCAAACTCCATATCTAAAACTAAATAGAAACATAAGGGTTCTATACCAGTAGGTTCTTAATCATTCCTCTCTCAATGACTAAGTCATACTCATAAAATTCACAATTCAGTGAGTCCAGGTAACTATCCAATTGTACAGAGGTATATAAGGACAGAAAACATAATGTGTTTTAACAATTTTGTTACCTTGCATTGCATAGAAAAAGGAGTTTTAGTGCCCAAATCTTCAGAAGGTTCTTATGTAGATGTTCCCACTACTCTTTCCCACTTTTTCATATTGTTTCCTACAGTTCTTGCAACCTTTTAAGTTCTTCCTTTTCAAAATACCCTTTCCATCTATAACAAGTAACCAAGTCTCAGTCTTCAAGTTCCATACAAGGCCCTAGCATCTCCAATATGTTAGTGATATCTTTTCTCTTTCCAGTTTCCATTACGTTCTTATTCAGACTAATAAAAATCATAATATTCTATAAGTAGTATATTGGACTTTTCCACCTTAACTAACATTAAACCCTTAAAGAAACAGAAATCCCACGTCCATGTCCCCTATTCTTTCAATTACATATATAGCCTTCAAAATACAGAGTGGTGATTATACTCAACTTATGATTCCAAAGTTTCACTGCATACCAATATTAGATTCATCTTCCTAATATATAATGAAATTCTTCTGCTCAAAGCTCTCCAATTGGTTTCTCAATGTATACTAAGAAAGAAAAACAAAAACCTAACTCTTTGTTTTTTTTTAAAAGAATCTAAAACTGGAATGAAACCATCTTTCCTAGCTTACAAATATCTTGTGCTTCAAAGAAAATTCCTTCCTTTTACAAGGATAGAACCTGACTTTCCTGACTCTTTGCTTATGCTCATTTGATTAACTCTTCCTGAAATCTCACCTACTCCTAATCTCAACCTGTCAAAACTATACCTCTTCTTGAGGTCCATTTAGATGCCATTTCCTCAGTAAAGGCTGTCATAACTTTAGTTAATATGAGTTTCTCTCTGATATTCACTTTCCATGGAATCTTTGCATTATTAGTCATCTCCAAGCATGTCTTCTCTAGTAGAGCAGAAGTTGTCCTAAAAGCATGTATCACATCTAAGTCTTTTGTATTTTCAGTATCCAACTGGATGTGTTATGCAGAAAGAATTCATAAACACTGCTCAAATAAAATACTTTAAAGAAATAAGTCATAAGATATTAAAAATGCTACCAATTATAGTTGCACTGATAAAATGCTTATCATTACTTATCATTGTACTCAGTTCAAATAAATTTGAATATTTTAACTTATTTTTCTTTACATATTACTTGAATATTATTTTAGAGGATTTCAAAAAATATTTTAAATTTCCCAAACTATTATCTTGAACTTACCAAGTTGTAAATTCCTAACAGAAGTGCTTCAATGCAGCCATTACTCTGTCTGTCTCTGCTAACTGTAAGTCGTAAATAAACCCACATCAATTCTGGCAAGAATTGCAGTGTGAACCTCTTAAGTCGAACTTCAGAGCTACGATAGAGCTCAAACAGCTGGTGGCAGACAGGCTCCAGGAGCTAAAAGGTAAATAAGTACATTAGCTATTTCTATTCTTTTGGCTATAACTGTATTTTTAAAAGGCACAAATGCCTTTAGGATATTTAAAAATAAATTCTCAAAATTAGTTTCATCATATTTTGAGTTAATTCAACCAAAGCCTTTATATGAAAAGACCATAGATTAAAGTGACCAATCCACCAACTATAAGAAGTGCTTTGTGCCATATAATATTACCATGCCTTTTAATGTAGTATACTACTAAATGTATTAGATAATTAGTTATTTAGATAATGTACTACATATATATTTGGGGAATTTCCTACTCTGTCTTTACCAACTCTTACTATTCTCCATTTTTAAAAGTTTCTATTGGAATAAAATAATTTCAAATGGTCTCATTAGAAATAAGCTTTGAAATCTCAAGTGAGACTATGATACAAACAAATTATATACCACTCATTAGAACAGATTTTGCAATACATACTATTTACACATCCACAACTCTACCTAATATTTTAAATATGTACAACTAAGCAAAACTGATTATCTTTATGTTTTAAAACAGTTTTAAAATTTCAGTAATTTTATTCACTTGAAAGATTCTGAAAGGGTAAAAGTATACAGAAATAGCTTTTCCAACATTCATTTGGCTAACTGTTCATATATTACCATGTAAGGAACTTCATGACCTTAAAAACTGAAGAAAATGAACAGGTGCACATACTTTCAACTTAAAAATGATTGTACTAGAGTAATGCAGACCTACAAAACTGGCTAAAACTGGCATATCGAAAACTGACAAGAAACTACAAAGTAACTTTAAGTTAAACTATAATGCTAACTCTTTAAAAAAATAAATGGGTACAGTAATTTCATGTGCTTACTTCTACTCTAAATGACTAAAACAACACATTTACATTTAGAAATCTGCTTAAATGTACTTACATATGTCCGTAAAAATTCAATGTTCTAGAATAAAATCACTCCACTTTTACAATTGTAAAATTAAGTCAACAAATCTATGCCAATTATACAGTTAATATTAGATAGGTTAAACATAGTTCTTGAAGAATTCTAAAGTTTAAAAAGTTTAAAAAATTTATATACACACATACATCCTAGTCTAGTGATACTAAGCTCTTTATGTTAAATCACTATAACAACATAGTTTAAAAGTCTTTAAAATACCAATATTCCAACTATTCCCTTACATTGAAGTCTAGGTCAATCAGATAATCTGTCAAAGGTCATAGAAATTAATGGTAGGGGTAGATACTAAAACTAAACTCATATTTTCTAAAATCAAGTTGATGTATCCACTCTATCACTAAAAATGGAAGTAAAGGTTGTAATTACAAATAGTATATTCCATGTAGTACCAATAAAGAGTAACTAATAAGCTTTTGAAAAGAGTGAATCACTGGCATCTTTCATGAATGCTAATAGCACTATTCAGAGCTTCTGAGGAATTAAAGATTGCAGAAGCCCTCATAAATTTATTTTATTTATTTATTTATTTATTTATTTTATTTTTAGAGAGAGTCTCACTGTATAGCTCAGGCTGGCCTTGAGCTCTTTTTTTTTTCCTTTTTCTTTTATTATTCATATGTGCATACAAGGCTTGGTTCATCATAAATTTATTTGTTAAAAATATATACTTATGATTCAAACTGATTTTCCTCTACAAAGACTGTCTTCTCCAAATTTTATGGGCCATGGCACAATTACAATGAATTTCTGTTATGAAGACATTAATCATCCTTTTTCAGTAGCAAAAGGTATACTGACACAAAAAGACTGTATTTTAATTAAGTAAAGCAAAGAAATATAGTTTCCAAAATTATTACTCTGTTATTTTTAAATGCTGGAAATCCAGTAACTTCTACTTAGATACCACTACAAAATAAGATTGTTAAAAACTCGCCAATCTGTTAAAGCTTAATTCTAAGCATTTGTGTCATGTCACCATGTTCTCAAATTCTCAATATAATAAATGTCTTAGACCTCCCATAAATGGTACTATCATTCACACCAAAAATGTTGAAAATCATTATCCGTGGGCTAAAAACAAAATGAAAACAAACTGAAGAATAATCGACACCTTTTTCAAGTTAAGTAAACATAGTCTGACATAATTACTAAGATATGCTATCTAATAAACACACTGAGTGTGTTTTGGGTGGGATAATGGAGACCTAGCCAGGCACCAGTGGCTAATGCCTGTAATTCTAGCTTTTGGGAGGCTGAGTTCAGGAGAATTGAGGTTCGAGGTCAACCCAGGCAAATAGTTCGCAAGACCCCATCTCCAAAATAATGACAGCAAAATGGACTGGAAGTGTGGCTCAAGTGGCAGAGCACCTGCTTTGCAAGACAAAAAGCCCTGAGTTCAAACCTCAGTCCCACCAAAAAAAAATAATAATCAAGACGGAAGTATAACCTGAGTGGATTAAACATTGTGAGGTGAAGAAATGGAGAAGACAGAGACTATAAATAAGCAACAACTTATGAAGTTCATTTATGAATAGGGACAGAGAAAATGGGGTAGATGAAAGGAGGCAAAGTCAAAGAAGTTTTTTCAAAAACAAGAATATGACTGTTCATCAATTTACCTAATGAAAAGGAAAAAGGACGAGAGTATTACCAGAGATGCTTACTGTTTGAGTGGTAAATGTGAATGGGAAAAGAAGAGAGTGCCCAATTATTTTCTTCTACTTTAATGATCTAGAAAAGCAAGCTAAAAATGAAAAAGAAGGAGGATAAAGGCATGAAGAAAAAGAAAGTATAAAATCAACAGTGGGACAGTGAACCAAAGAAATAAAGTAGGACTTCAAGGGTACATATTATGTGCTCATTTGAGATTTGCAGTCCTAATTTAAAGAAGCAAAAGTCAACAAAACTGTTTTCTTTGGGCATATTCAGCTGCTCACGTACAGGAACAAGGAGCATGGATTGATTGCTGGGTTTTATCCATTTTTTTCCCAAAGAATATAAACTAAGAGAATAAGAAGCAAAGGAGCTAAGAATGTTTGCAAGGGAATATTTATAATAATGAACCATGAAAATCTATCTACACTGAGGGAAGTCAGAAAGGCATTCAAATCACAAAACAATGACAGAGTAAACGTATTGGAGGACTCCTTAAAGTGAAAGAACTGGTAGAGTGATTAAGGGGTCTGGTAGGAGAAAAAGAGAAAAACAAAGCAATATTATTGGTCTAGAGATTAAAATTAAAGTTGTAACATAGGTTGGCTATGATGTATAATATTAAATTTCTAGCAAATATGTATTCTTAAGTATTTTTATGGTTTTAAAGCAAAATTGTGAGACTGTCATTCATTTCAAATTCATATTAAATATGACATGACCATTTACTGAAACAACTTTTGTTAACTAATAATGCATTTGGTTATAACAAAATCAGGACTTAAAAGGACCCTCCTTCAGTGATTAAAGTCCAGAAATATTTTGAGATTCTACAGAAGTTACTATCCTGTTTTTCTGAAGTCTGAAGGCATGGTCAGAACCTTCTGACTTGACAGAACAAAAAATGGAAACCCAGACCTGCTGTAACAACTTGTTAATTATAATGAATGCTGAATCTTGAGCTTAGATCTCTCAAGATGTAACTTTTCAATTTCTAGCCACCCCTCCAAGGTCATATTATAAATGTGACAATATAAATAAAAATAGATTAAAAATTTTCATAGATTTAATTTTGTAAAAGGAAAAAGATACTTTTTTATAACTTCTGAGTCTTAATGAAAATGAAAAATATTTTAAAGTCTTTTTGTATTTGACTGCTAATCAGTATTTATTGATTCATTTATTTACGTGATGCTGGAGACTGAAACCAGGGCCTTTCACATGCTAGGTCAGTACTAATCCACTGACCTATAGCCCAGCCGAATCAATACTTATTACATGTTCAGTATGTACATGATAAAATACTACATTCCAAAGAAATAACAACATAGTATGACCACTGCCCATGAAGAACTTACAATCTAAAGAGAAAAGCATAAAACAAATTTTAATAAGCAAAGCTTAAATGTTAAGACAGCACAAAACAAGGGGTAGGGAACACACATTCATTATTCAAAAATGGAATTCAAGTACTCCTGACCAAGAAGAATATGAATATATACATTACTCATAACTAAAGTTTTAAAAACATTCAGAAATACACTGCAAGAGAAAAAGAAGCAAATGAATCCTGCAATTGCTGCTACAAATAGCAACAGATGCAAGTCTGAGAGCCAATCCAAATTTAAAAGACAGGAAAGGGGGTCAATAAGCAAGCTTTAGTGATAGGACAAAACTGAAGATGCACTTGAAGTTAAGCTGCTGTTAGGAGATGATTACCTGGATTTCTTCAAACTCACTCCAGTACACAGCAGAGGCACTCTTGGAGGGTGTATCTGGGAAGATAAGAAGCTACTTTCCTGTGTGCTCCTTTCATTTTTGCTTTAAAACATACATGAATCCAATGGGCTAAAACTATATGTCATACTACTGTGTTAGTGGAAAGATAATGTGTGTATTTAGCATAAGTTAACATACAGATTCAACAGCTGTATTTTTTTTCTTCTATCACAAAATTGAATGAAGAAAAACTGTTATTCTAAGTTTATTAATCTTGACTATTTTGACTAAAAAATGCTTCCTTTGATCATTTCCAGGGTAAATTTAATAAATAACAGCATGCTATTGTCATGAATTTGATTTCACTGATTATAGAGAATTTTATGAAACAATAAAATAATATAAAATAATAAAATAGTAAACAATATGAAAATAAATAAAGCAGAATCAGTATACAGTTAAAATTTGGCTTTCAGAGCAAGAAACATACCGTAAAAGGAGACAAGGAAAAGTTTCAAGTTAAATAAATAATCCATTGAGATGATGGTCACTCAAATCAAGAATCAAAAACATATTGCTCAACAGGAAAAAATTTGACCAAAATGCTTTTTAAAATGGAAAGAGAGGTAATGGGGAAAGCCAAAGAAATCAGAATGAAAAAAAAAATAGCAGAAAGAAATTTTCCAGATCCACAAGGATAGAAAACTACAAAACTTACATCTATGTGTTTTAATACACATATTTCACATTACTATATAGAAATCATTTAATGCATTTTCCTACCTCATTATTCGAATCTTGAATAACTTTATAGAGGGCTGGTACAAGTGTTTTTTTCCGGTGTAAAGTTGCTGCATAATTGGTGATCTGAGTGTCAGGTAATGCCTAAAAGAATCCATCAAAGAACAAAAAAAGTAAACTTAATACTTGGGAAGTCAGGAACTTTATTTTATAGTAGTGACTCTTCAAAAGCTTTATAAGAGTCAAAGAAGAAAAGTAAAAATAATTAATATAAAAAATAACCATAATAAGGCTGGAGGAGTGGCTCAAGTGGTAAGAGTGCCTGACTTGCAAGTGTGGTGGCCCTGAGTTCAAACCCCAGTGCTGCCAAAAAAACAAGAAATAACCACAGAGCTACTAAAATCTATTAATTTGGGATGTTTTACTATACAATTCTTCTAACTACTGAACCATGAAAAATAATCAGAAATCACATATTATACCTGGATTTCATGAAATGGTCCACCTTAATCTAACCTTAAAAAAATATAGGCTGTATTTCAATCCTTGCATGTACAATTTTACAAAATATTCATTTCCATAATATTCATAAACCATATAATTTTCAACCAAAAGTATCTGATTTAAACACAGGAAATAAAACAAGGCAAAAATTCTATTTTTGTGCATTTTTTTTCTTTTATTATTCATATGTGCATACCATGTTTGGGTTATTTTTGTGCCTTATTAAAGCTTTGAGACACATCTCTTTTACTGAATATATTTTAAATTTTAAATATTTCATTAATTTGGATAATTATTTTCATTTTTAACTAATTGCTCTGGTCCTCAGTCACATCAGTATGTTTCAAAGAATTATGATTAGAAAAACATTATTTCATATTTTGCCATTTCCACTTCATAGCATGTATTTCTTCATAGAACAATTGCTAAATTACTGTCATAAAGAATCATATAATACATTCTTATCCCCAATCCAGTTTACCTTGAATTCTGATAACCATTCTTCCACAACACCACGTTCAGATCCCAGCATCTTCTTTTACCTTCTTTTAACTCTAAAATAATAACAAAAAGCATTAAACCTGAAAATAGCATTACATCACTACCAAAGGTATATGATATGTGTCTTTCACTAAGAAGAAACTAATCTAGTCCATATTCTAGACAAGGGGCTTGTTTTTAGTTTGGAGCACAATTAAAGTTTTTCAGAAGTAAGTTCTGCTTTTAATGACATATTCTACTATTCTATGTTTTCCTATTTTCCCTAGTTCAAATGGCAAAAAAAGTGCCCTGAGTAAAATTAAACTATACATTATCCAAGATAAATGCCCCGTCAATGCGAGGAGAATAAGTTATAGATCATCAAACAAATCACATGACAAACCTAGATAAGATAGTAAGTATGGCCATATATTCAGCAAGCTGATAAAAACACTAAGTACTATACAAAATAAAGCCTTTGAAGAAAATAGGTCCATAAATTTTCTAAGTTGAAAAAGTATCTATGTTAAGAAAAAACTATATAGCAGTATATACACTGTAATTCCAATTAAAAATTATACTTAATTTGCCTGGAAGCAAATATATACTAAACCATCAAGTGTTGGTTTTTGAGGACATTCTAAATATGTAATTTTGAATAAAAATAATATGTATTTAAAGTGAAAAAGACAAGGAAAGTGTTTTATTTTCCTACTTTATAATTTAAAAGCTAAGAATAAGAAAAAAATAACTTAGGGAGGGGGAAGATCTATCTGTGAAACAACTAAAAGTCCTATAACAAAAAGTCAGGATTTCCTAAAAGTTTGTCAAATTCCACATTAGATTTCTAAATAAAGAAAAAGAAATCAAATTTTCTATTTTTTTTTGCTTCAACTGCAAAAGGACTTTAAAATTTAATTTATATGTAAGGCACTACATCAAGTACTATTTAAGCAAAGAATACAAAAAGGAGTTAAGCATACCACTTATTTTCAAATAGCAAATGCTCTTGATACATTGATAGATCTCTTCAAAAAATTTTTAAGATAAAAAAGATAATGAGGGAACCCACAAGTTAAAAGAGATATATAAATACACACACACACACACACACACACACACACACACACACACACCTATCGAGGACTGGTAAGGTGGCTCACACCAGTAACCTCAGCGCTTGGGAAGCTCAGCACTTGGGAAGCTGACAGAAAGATCACAAGTTTGAGGCCAGTCTGGGATACATAGTGAGTTCAAGGTCAGTCTGGGCTGCATAGTGAGACTTTGTCTCAAAAAAAAAAAGTGACTGGTTATGGTTATTTGATGATATTAAATTAAGAAATTATCATAGTTTATTTTTATATGTGATAATGGCATTATAGTCAGGTTTTCTTGGTGGTACTGGGTTTGAACCCAGGGCCTTGTACTTACTATATAGGCACTCTACATTTCAGCTACCCCACCAGCCCTGTAGCTAGATTTTTAAAAAATAGTCTTTATCTTTTAGAGATAGATACTGAAAAATTTACTGGTAAAATGATGTCTGGGATTTGCTTTAAAATAATGGGGGGAAATCCTTTTGTGTTTCATAAATATTGGTTGATTTTTCAAGGCATTGTGTGAAATACACCTCCCTCAAACCTTGTTCTGATGATGACACTTAAATATGACATATTAAGGAAAAAAAAAACAGGTGTGTGTGAAAGGAGAGTGTGTTAGCTATAGTTGAAATATGATTAACTATAAATTGATAACCACTAATGCTTAGTAATTAGTACACAAATTTCACATTATTCTCTGTGTTGTTGTAAGTTTGAAATGTCCCAAAGTGAACCATAAAAAAATAAAGATAAAAGAATTGATGAACATACATATACATTCTGACATCAGATATATAAAAGAAGGTTCTTGAACCTTTTTTTTTTTTAATTCTTTTGGGGGTGTACTGCAGGAGAAGCAAAGCAAAGATTCATAGACTCCTTTGGGAGCTAAACAAAACTATGAATCCCTACACTTCAAAAAAAGGTAAATAAATATAATGCCTACCAATGCACAATTCTTCGAACCATTTCAGGGAGTTTACACGTTCACTAAAGCCCATTAATAAGACAGGAACTCCTGAATTTTCTACTGAAGAAAAGACACTCATAAAAATAACTTTACAAAATAAAGGACCTGCTGGACTCCAGTGGCTCACGCCTATGATCCTGCCTATTCGGAAGGCAGAGATCAGGAGGATAGTGGTTCAAAAGCCAGCCCAGGTAACTAGATCAAGAGACCCTATCTCAAAAATACCCAACACAAAAAAGTGCTGGTAGAGTGGCTCAAGTGGTAGAGTGCCTGCCTAGCAAGTGTGAGGCCCAATATTCAAGCACCAGTACTATCAAAAAAGATTTTTAGCACATGGATAATAAAATTTAATGTTTAAAAAGATAACCTGGCTATATGTAGGAAAGAAATGGTAGGAGAGAGGGTGTTATTTAAAAAAGAAAAAAGAAATGGTATCCCTTTCACAGCTAGCTAACAAATTCTTCCACAGTACAAAAAATTAAAAAAAAAATAAAAACAGGTTTGGGGCTGAATTTGATTCCCACCTTTCCCCTTCCCCCCAAAAAAATCCAGGTTCTCTTGAAAAAAATTTTTTTCCTTCTTGGAGGCACTGAGGAGTGAACTCAGGGCCTCATGCTTGTGGGCAGCACTCTACCACTTGAGTCACTCCACCAAGTCTTTTTGCATTGGTTATTTTTGACATCAGGCCTTCCTTTATGCTTTGGCTAGAATAGACCTAAGTCCTCCTATTTGGGCTGGTCCACATAGCTGGAACAACAGGTATGTACCACCATATCCAGCTACTGGCTGAGATGGGGTCTTGCAAACTTCTTGCCTAGGTGGCTTTGAATTGCTATCCTTCCCATCTCTGCCTTTCAAGGATTACAGGCTTGAGCCACGTGCCACAACTCAAAATTTTAATTTCTTGAATAGCTACTAATTATCAAAATGTTTTCTTATTAACAAAGTACCTGTATAACTCACAAAACTACTACAATAAGCTGAGCGGTGGTAGCTCACCCCTGTAATCCTGGCTACTCAGGAGGCAGAGATCAGGAGAATCAAGATTCAAAGCCAATCCAGGCAAATAGTTTGAAAGAACCCTATCTCAAAAATACCCAACAAAAAACAGGGCTGGCAGAGTGGCTCAAACGGTACAGTGCCTATCTAGCAAGCATGAAGCCCTGAGTTCAAACTCCAATGCCATCAGAAAAAAAAAAACAAAAACTAGACAATAAAAATCAGAATCAGAACATTCTTCTAGTGAATACCTATCACTAAAATATCAATAGAGAGGATGTTGCCATGTATTTTAAAGGGACACAACATAAAGATATCATAGTATTTTTACTGTTTTAAAAATCATGTTATTTGCTTAGTAAAGGTTTGAATCTTCTAAGATTAAAATCTACATTCATTGTTTACTCATATATGGGGGGCAGCGTATGATACTGGAGTTTGAACTCAGGCCCCTGCACTTGACAGGCAGGAGCCCTAACCTTTGAGCAATGTCCCCAGCCCACAGTTTACTTTCTGGACGTTATTTTAGACACATAAGAGATTAAGATTTAACATTTTTTTCTCTCAATTGTTTTAACACATTTTGCAAGTCCATTTTTTTATGATGATTTTTTCAACTTATTTTTATCACATCCTAAAGTCTTACCTATATTTGGAACTATTTCTGAGCTACTTTCAGACTAAATTTGCACCAAGATTACAATCTTTTAATTACTATGGCTTTATAATATATTTTAATATATAACAGTACAAACTCCTATCCTTTTTTTTTTTCTAAAAATGTTTCATCATTACTGCCAGCTTCATTCTTTTAGATAAATACACTTTTGTTGGGTTTCTTCCCCATATCCAACCTCAGTGGGATTAAATTTATAAATTAACTATAAACAATATGTGCACAATACTGCATTATCCCACACAGGATTATGGGATATACTCTTACTATAAACTTTTATGTTTTTTTTTTCACATAAGTTAACACATTTCCAATTAATTCTTAGGAGGTTTGTATTTTTTTGTTTTAATTGTGATCAGACTATTTTCTATTATGTTTTCTAACTACACGTTGTTATACACACAAATATAAATAAAACATTTTGACATCAAAACGAACACATTTTTAGATAATTATTTAAAACACGGACATGGTTTAAGTCAAGATTTCTCTGTTTTAGGAAACATGTATAAACTAGTAAGTCATCTTTTAGTTAACTGCAAGGAATTAAAAGTTTTTTTAATGTATGCTACTACTTTATAGAAAAGGGCAAGAAAAAAATAGCTATAATTAATCAGTAATTTTTTCAAATTTTCTACAAAGAACACAAACTTTTTAAGCGCAAAAAGAGCCAAGGGCTAGAGGCTCACGCCTATAATCCCACCTACTTAGGAGGCAGAGATCAGGAGGATCATGGTTTGAAGCCAATCTGGGCAAAATAGTTCAAGACTCTATCTCAACCAAAAAAAAACCCATCTCAAAAAATGGCTGGTGCAGTGGCTCAAGATGTAGGTCCTGAGTTCAAACCCTAGTACTGCAAAAAACAACAAAAAAGCAGCAGTCAAAAGAAACCCAACCATAATAAACACATCGTTTTAATCAGATGCATATTATACAGAATTCCTACCCATAAATAGGGCCCAAAATATTTTGAAAAACACATTTTGAAAACACTTTCCAAGTAAGCCTGATTACTATCCTCTGGTCTATTTTTGTTTTTAAAATCCCATTAAGGCTAAAATTCTCATTTTATTTTTTAACTTTTTTTTTTTTTTTTTTTTTTTTGTGATGGCATCTTGCTATGCTTCCCAGGTTGTCCTCAAACTCCTGGCTTCAAGTGATTAATCACTTCTGTCTCCACCTCAAGAATAGCTAGGACTATAAACTTGTGCAATCTCACCCAGGTCATAAATTTTAAAATTCCTATTTGATTTGTCCTGTAACCAGAAATTTGACTAAAATCTCTCCAATTTCTACCAATATCATTTTTAAAATAAGTTAAATACCCCTAAATAGAGAAACATACTGATGTCAATAAACAACCACTTCTAATCATAACACTGTCAATATTTTCTCAACACTATACCACTACTAATTTTAAGACAATATCTACCAACTAAGTACAAAAATGAAACACTCCTTTATTTAAAAAAAAATGTTGGCCAAAGGACTAGAGGATAAACTAACCCCCATAATCACATATACTTTTTAAAAATTACCCTTTATGTTTCTGGCCATTTTTGGTCTTTGTACTTATGGCTTGGCAAGCTCTTCTAGCTCTTTGTCTATGGCCTGATTAGACTAAGTTAAAATGTTATTATCTTCTCCAGGAAGCCTTCCTTGTCTACTAAAAAGGGCTCCCTCTTCTTCCTGTCTCCAACCTTGATCACTCTGTCCACTTTAGCACAGTACTTAGCAAAATATGTAATTGTCTTACTTGTTTACTTATGGTCTGCCTTTCCCATTGGAATCTATCTTCACAGGGATAGGCACTGTATCTCAAGTAACAGGCACATAGCAGGCACTCAAACATCTGTTGATTTTACTACTGTGTATGAACATAATTTAGTCACTACATAGATAAAAGGAAACAGTGTAGGAGGGTGAATATTGTGAATGTACTCATGTTACGAAAACAGAAAAATGAGACCTGTTAAAACTATTCTAAGAATGAGAGGAGGGGGAGATAAAGGAGAAAGATGGAGTAAATTAAACTAAGATATATTGTAAGCACTTTTGTAAATGTCACAATGTATCCCCAGTACAACAATATGATAAAATAAATTAAAAACAATTTAGCACCTTTAGCTCCCACAGCTTTTTTTTGTTGTTGTCGTAATGAAATCTGGGATTTTTTTGTCTTTATTTTCTATTTAGTTAAGCTTACTAATTTTATTTGGAAAAATAAATACAGACAGAATTTAAATAGCTTTTCATAAATCACCCAAAAGTTTTTGACAGGTAGATACTCTCTCTGATCCATGAACCAATATCAGCATTGCTCTGCTCTGAAATTAGAGACTGAGAGATTTGGCAATTTTGCTGTCTTTGAATTAACTGGTGTATGTCAGGAGATCTTCTACTGAAACAATTGTTTATTTCAAAGCTGTGCTATATAATGATACATTGTATACACTTTAAACAACATTTAGGAATACAAATTCAATTAAAATTTTAACTCCAGTGTTGTGTTAATAATCTCAAAAGAAATGAAAGCTGAATAAAAAGCTAAATTCTAGAAATGTCAAGTATGAGTACTACAGCTATTTCACAATTTAATTGGTCACTGAAAAGCTTCTTTTGACAAGAAACACTTTGACTTCAAAAATGTCGAAGTATGAGGGGAGAAAAAAACACATGTCTTAAAAGTAAGGCTATAACTGTTGAGCCTATCAAGATGTTGGATAATAGATGCTTTCTATAGGCAACAGAATCTAGTGGTTTTAAAGCAGCAGTTTGCAACTCTGGGGGAAGGGGCCTCAGAACCCCTTTCACTAAAAAGTTATTTATTGCTAGGGGCATAGCAAAATGGTAGAGCACTTGTTAGGCAAGTGTTGAGCCCTAGGTTCAATTCCTAGTATTGCAAAAAATTATTAATTAATCTTAAAAATAAGCTCATTACATGTTAACATAAATAACAGTTTTAAAAGAAAATGATATTCTTCCGAAACAAAAAAAAAAATTCAGTGCCGGAAATGGTAGCTCACGCCTATAAACATCAGCTACTCAGAGGGTAGAGACTGGAAGACATGGTTTCAGGCTAGCCTGGGCAAAAAGTTAACGAGACCTCATTTCAACAAAAATCTGGGTGTGGTAGCATGAACCTGAAATCTGAGCTACAAGGGGAAGGGTGTAAAAGAGAGGATCACAGTCTATGACAGCCAGCCCAAAAATGTGAGGCCCTACCTGAAAAGTAACTAAAGACAAAAGGGATGAGGCATGGCAAGCATGAAACCTTGGATTCAAACCCTAGTATAGTTCCCCACCCCCAAAAACAAATTAGTGTGAACAGCACTAATTATGCTTGTGTGTGTATAAATCTCATAGTTGTGTCTATATTCAATCTGCCGCTAAAAAACAGTTTTCAGTGTTTTTGAGAGGATGACATTTAAAGAAGCAAAGTTTATTTATATGAAAAATGTTTTGACCTCACAAGTTTCATTAAAGGATCTCCAGACCACATGCTGATTTTGGATTCTGAAACCAGTCTCTAAAGTTAAGGTTACATACTGCCTAGCTATATTTAAACCCTCTTACTAGCTACACTAAAAAATTCTATGACTCTGTTGTTTCAAAACTGAGAATAAAGGTGTCTACTTATAGCTAGTGTATACTTAGAGTAGACTCTAACCAAAAGGTGAATATATTTGTCAGGGTATTATATAATTAATCTTCACGATTCTTTGTACTTTGAAGTGGCTTCTGTTATTTGTATCTAACAGATAAGAAAATTAAAGTGTAAAAAGGGTGAGTGACCTATACAACAGTTTGGGTGGTAGAACTCAATTTAACACCTATTGGCTGGGGATGTAGCTCAGTAGTACAGCATTTGCCTAGCATGCACCAGGCCCTGGGTTCAACGCCCCAGCAGTGCAGGCAGATAGATGGATAGATAGATAGATAGACAGATAGATAGATAGATAGATAGATAGATAGATAGATAGATAGATAGATAGATAGATATGGAATGTAATACCTACTTTGAAACCAGTGGTTGAGGGTAGGGGTATGGCTTAAGTGGCAGAATGCTTGTCTAGTTAGTACAAGACCATGAGTTCAAACCCTATAACTTGTCAAGATGGTGGAAAAAAACAACCCTATGGTTGAAAAAGGCACTATGTAATCTGGCCCCTGTTTTATGGCTCATATTACTCTCCCCACTGCTTTCTATGCTCTGGCCATACTCAATCTCTATAGTTCATGCACACTTTCACCACAGGGCATCCTGCAGGCTGTCCAGCCAGGAATGCTGTCCTAATCCTGCTATTTAAATAGAAGACTCCTTCCCATCCTTCAAGTGTTCCAACCACTTTATCTAAATAACCTTTCCCATTCCTTGGTATTTTCTATCCCAAAACAAGACTCATTTGCTTCTTAGAGCTTTGTATTTTTTTACTTGGTTATTAGACATATTATCTACTGTCTATCTCCTTGACCAGATAGAGTAAATTCCACGAGAACACATTTCTTGCTCACTGCTATTCATTCAGAGCTAGCAAACATACCATGGTATTTGGATATAAGACAGGTAGCTAATTACTTGTATTTGTTGAATAAATAAACCACACTGTTTAAACCCTTTACAGGAAATTGCTTAAACCCTTAAAGCTTCAATTTTCTATAGTAGGTTATTTTCTAACTCTAAAATCCTAAAAACATGTTTTGGGGGCCCAAACAATGGGGTTTGAACTCAGAGTGTTATACTTGCTAGACAGGCAAGCTACAATCTGAGTTACACCAACAGCCCTTTTCATTGTAGTTATTTTTCAAATAGGATCTTACTTTTTTTATGCTCTGGCTGCCCTGGACATTTTGCTCTTTGCCCCCATTTGGAACCTTGTCAGTGTGAAGCTTTCAGCAACCTTGTCATTGTAGCTACTTATGAATTCCTACTAGGTGCATTCCTTTGGGGAATTCCAACTAGATAATTTTGCCCCTTCCTAGTGTTCTCCTTTACCTGTTTTGGCATGAGTTAGTTTCTGTGGAAACAGTGGACTGGATGGGTTTTATGCAGGATCTAGGGTTAGAGCCACAATGGATTCGGGGATGAGAATTTTCTTTTTCTTTTGGTTTAGTACATTTTGTACACTAAAACAGCAGAAAGAGCAGTAGCTTATTTTTTAAATAAGTAAAATTAAAAACTCAATTCCTTAGTTGAACTACCCAACTAGTCAAGTGCATGACTAGAGTTTACAATATCAAACAGCATACACATAGAACATTGCCATGATCACAAAAGTTATATTGAATAGCACTGATTTAGATGTAGCTAGACAATGCAATTATGCTGAATAAATCCAATAATTGAATCAATGTAGAATTTAGGTAATTCTGTATTTTAAAAAAAGCAATTTTTAATAGGCAGTTATTAAGATGTGATGTTTTCAGGTAAAATTACCTAATAAACAGAAATTATTCATCCAAGAGTATCAAAAACTAACATGTCTAACCACATAGGAAATTCATTCTTTATCCTTTAAAAAATTAACATCATAATTTTACCTGTTTTAAGATCAGTTTTCTAAAGGAGGTGGTGGCACAGGAATGCCGCAGAGTTCGAGTGTGGAATTCATTTGTTGAAAGTTAAATATCTCCCAGCTCTATAACAAAAAAAAAAAAAAAAAAACTATGAAATGTTAAGATAAGATTCTCAAGAATATAATCCAAGCTGGGCAACAGTGGCTCATGCCTGTAATCCTAACTACCTGGGAGACAGATCCAGAGGTCTGCAATTCCAGGGTAGCCCAGGCAAACAGTTTGTGAGACTCCCATGTCCAAACTAACCAGAACAAAATGGACTAGAGGAGTGGCTCAAGAGGTAGAGCACCTGGTTTGCGAGTGTGAAGCCCTGTCCCTGTCCCAGTCCCACACCAAAGAAAAAGAAAAAGAAATATAATACAAAGAAGACAGAAGAGTTTTGATACTTTTTTTTTTTTTTTTGGTAGTACTGGGATTTGAGCTCAGAGCTTCGTGCTTGCAAAGCAGGCACTCTTCTGTTTGAGCCACACCTCCAGTGCATTTTGCTCTGAGTATTTTGGAGCTGGAGTCTCGAGAACTATTTATTGGGGCTGGGCTTGAATTGCAATACTCCCAATCTTAGCCTCCAAAGTAGACAGAATTACAGGTGTGAGCCACCAGTGCCCAGCTTTGATAGTACATTTATGATTACAGCTCAACTCATTTTTCTAAAATTATGGTTTCTAGAAAGCATGCATGTATACCTTTATCTATCTATATATGTACATGTACATATATATGTACTTCTAAAATATTCATGCCCCTCATCCTCTCCTTCCCCCACCAGCTATTATTCTAAGCTTTGAAATACAGTACAGCGATATCTCTCTCCCTTTCACACACATCACACTTAAATAAATCCTCATTAAAATTTCAATATTTTAGGGCTGGTGGAGTGGCTCAAGTGGTAAGAGCACCTGCCTAGCAAGTGTGAGGCCCTGAGTTCAAACCCCAGTGCCGCCAAAAAAAAAGGAAAATTTCAATATTTTAATTCCCAGTGCCATGAAAAAAAAAAGAAAGAAAAAGAAAATTTCAATATGTAGGGCTGGGGATATAGCTCAGTGGTGGAGTACATGTTTAGCATGTTCAAAGACCTTACCTTTGATCCCCCGGTAGGAGGTGAAATTTAAAAAAAAAATGAAGTATAAAATTAAGCTTAAATAGTATCAAAAGACTATTTCCTGCATGGGAGGGGCAAGAAATGTTTCTTTTTTCCCATTTCTCCCCAGTTTTATCCTGCTATACTAAATTTCTTTCCTAATAAACTGTAGTATTGTTTTTACTAAATATATATATATTTATGAGGAACCAATGGCTCATGCCTGCAATCTTAGCTCCTCAGGAGCAGAGATCAGGAGGATTGTGGTTTGAAGCCAGACCTAGGTAAATTCATGAGACCCTAGCTTGGAAAAAACCCATTACACACACACACACACACACACACACACACACACACACACACACACGCCAGTGGAGTGGCTAAGTTCAAACCCCAGTGTCACTCCCCCCACACACACACTATCAAAGGCTACAAAATCATTTTGATTGCATGTCATGTAACTGCAATGTTGCTGGGTACCAGTGGCTCACGCCTATAATCCTAGCTACTCAGAAGGCAGAGATCGGAGACAGACATCAGGAGGATTGTGGTTAGAAAACCAGCACAGGCAAATAGTTTGCAAGACCCTGTCTTGAAAACACCCATCACAAAAAAGGGCTGGAGGAATGGCTCAATATGTAGGCCCTGAGTTCAAGCCCCAGTACTGAAAAAATAAGTAACTGCAAATTTTATCATTAAAAAAAAAAGAACATGGAAAATGCTGCTAACTCTAATTTTTTGGCATAAAAATAATACTAAGTTCCTTGGGCAGACAGAATCATTTTCAAATAGCTAAACATAAAGTCTTATTAGAAAGTAGTAACTGGACTGGAGATATGACTCAGGTGGTAGAGTGTCTGCTTTGCAAGCTTGAAGCCTTGAGTTTAAACCCCAGTCCCACTACAAAAAAAAAAAAAAATCCAGGAAAGGAATGACTATTTTCATGTATTTGCTGACTATATCATCCATCACAGCTTATAAATCCAAAACAGTAAAAGAAATTAACACCTTAATGTGTTCATTAGCCAGGTGCCGGTGGCCCACGCCTGTAATCCTAACTACTCAGGAGATCAGTTGATCACAGTTTGAAGCCAGCCCAGGTAAATAGTTCCTGACATACTATCTCAAAAAAACCATCACAAAAAAAGGCTAGTGGAGTGACTCAAGGTATAGACCCTGAGTTCAAATTTCTAGTTCATTAACAATATGCACCTTTTAAATAATAAGAATACACAACAAAATTCTCTTACAATTATCATTGTAAAGTCTCCAATATTCTTTAGAATCAAAGGGTTAGAACCCCTTCTTTCACCACGGCAATGACTTTTTCTCTTATATATTGAGCTTTCACATGAAACTTTTATTTTATGAGTAGATTCATATAGTGAGGGACTTCAGAAGGACTAATGGAATATCTCTGGAAAGAATACATACAAGAAGACCTGATGTGTGGCCTATGCCTGTAATTCCAGCTACCTGAGAGGCAGAGAGGAGTTTCATGGTTTGAGGCCAGCTTGAGCAAAAGTTATCTAGACCAAAAACAAGCCAGGTGTGGTGGCCACAAGTAGGGTCTCAGCTACTTTGGAGGTGGAAGTAGGAGAATGGTGGTTTGAAACCAGCCTGGGGAAAGTCAGTGTAAGTTAGTGTGAGACCCTATTTGAAAAGAACAAACTAAAAGCAACAGGGCTGGGGGGTGTGGCAAGTAGTAGCGTAACTGACAAGCAAGTGTGAATCTCTGAGTTCAATCCCCAGTACTGCCAAAATATAAAAAATATACATGAGATGCTGGTAACACTTTGAGCAGGCGCACTTGATGCCAAGGAAACAGGGTAAGAATGAGATAATACTGTCCAGAGTCTCTATGGTTCTTCAGATAAAAAAATCTGGCACACAATAAAAAATTACTAAGTATACAAAATGACAAGAAAATATGAATAACACTGAATAGAAAACGGACATGAAAAATCAGTTCCAATAGCAGAGTTAACACAAAATGACAATTATTTAAAATAATTCTAGCATATTAAAGAAAATAAAGGAGAAATGAACAAAATTGGTGAAAGAGGCATTTACCAATTAATTAGGATCTATAAAAATAATTAAACAGCTGGGAACAGTGGCTCACGCCTATAATCCTAGCTACAAAGGAAGTAGAGATTGGGAGGATCACAGTTTGGGGTCAGTCTGGACAAAAGTTTCACAAGACCCCATCTCAACCAATGGCTGGGTATGGTGGTATACAACTGTTACCCCAGCTAGGTGGGGAAGCACAAATAAGAGGATTGTGGTCCAGGCCAGCCACGATATAAAGCAAGATTCTACCTCAAAAATAACTAATGCAAAAAGGGCTAAAGTTATGGCTCAAGTAGTAGAGCACCTATCTAGCAAGCTAGAGACCAAATTCTATACAGCCAAAGAAATATTAAACAGGCACTCTAGACCTGAAAAATACAATGTATGAAATTAAGAACTCAATATATTGGTTCCATAGCATGCTGGACACAGCAGAGTAGAGGATTAGTAAACTAGAAAACAATCAATAAAAATACCCAAACCAGAGCATAAAGAGAAAAACGAGAAGAAGAGATGAGAAAGGAAAGGCAGGGGGAAGGAGGAGAGGTTTAGAGAAGTATGTAAAAGGTCTAAACCACATACACACACACACAACAGAAGTGCCAGACAACAGGAGAAATAGATAAATGCAATATTCAAAGAAAGAATAGCTGAGAGTTTTCCAAACCCAATTAAAGAAATCAACCCAGAAATTCAAGATGCTCTGCCAACTTCCAGCAGGATACAGTAAAAGAAACCATATCTAGAATATCATAATCAAACTACAAAAGGAAAGAATGAAGAGAAGAGAAGGAAAAATAATACAAAAGCAACAATTTGGGAAGAGTTGACCTTCAAAAAAAAAGAAGAGAGCCAGGCATATGTGGATGTGGTAGCATATACCTATAATCCCAACACTAGTAGGCTGAGGCAGGAGGATCTCGAATTCCAGGAGACCCTGTCTCAAAAAAAAGGAACAGGAGGAAGAAGGAAGAAAGGAGGAGGAGGACAAGTTCTACTACTACTACTCAGATGCAGAGTGTTTCACCAGAAAATTCTTCTAAACAAGGAAGAAACATCAAGCTTGTTACAAAGTCTTCTATAGAACAGAAAATAATAGAAAATGTCCTCGTTTTTAAGAACCAGTGCAACCATGATGGCAAAAATTGATACAGGTATTATATAAAAAAGAATTTACTGTAGACACACAGCAGTAGCTTTGAAAATATCACCTGATCATCCATTAGGTATAGAAAACACATGACAAAATTCAAAACTCATTCATGATAAACTCTATTCAAAGTTCACACACACACACACACAAATCCATACAAAGCCCACAGTATCATAATCAATGGTAACACTGAAAACTTAGCATCTCAAGCAGAGAAAAAAAAGACAAAAATGACCATTACCACCATTTCTATTCAACACTATACTACAGGGCTTTTTCCTAGTATAGTAAAGCTAGAGAAACAAAAAAAATTAATAATAATAAAGACTAGAAAGGAAGAAATATCATTATTCACACAAGATAGGATATATACCTAGAAAACCCAAAAGATTCTACTAATTATTAGAATTAACAAGTGAATTTATATTTCTGAATATAACAAAAAAACAATCATGCTTCTATAAACTAGTCATGGATTTAAAACAAAAGTATAACAGCATTAAAAACCAGAATTACTTAACAAAAGATGTGCAAGACTTCTCTAACAACACTGGAAACATTTTTGAAAGAAACTTACAAGTATCTAAATATAGTTTAGTGTCACTTAATGACAGGGATTATGATCTAAGAAATGTGTTGGTAGGTGATTTTGTAGTGTGTAAACATCACAAAATGTACTTATACAAACCTGGTCTCTGATGATATCAAGACAACGCAGTAAACATGAGATGTATGAAGTTGCTGCAGGCATAGCAGCA